GGCTGGGCAGCAGCGGGCGGCGGGCACCGTGGTGGGCGAGGCGGTGCAGCGGTACAGCAAGGAGAAGAGGGATGCCATCTCGCTGGCCATCAAGGATATTAAGGAGGCCATCGAGGAGGTGAAAACCAGGACCATCCGTTCGCCTTACACCCCCGACGAGCCCAAAGAGCCCATCTGGGTCATGCGCCAGGACATCAGCCCCACCAGAGATTGCGATGACCAGAGGCCCGGGGATGGAGACGTAAGTACGCGCGGCCAGGAGAGGAGACGAGTGCGGTGTGGCCTTGTTTGTCATTGGGAAGTGACCAGGAGAGAGATGGTCTGTGGGAATGCTAACCATGTGTCCACCCTAAGCCTCAAAAATAGCGTGCACGTAAGCGCGAGTGAAACACGGGTGGTTGGGAGTTAAAGTGTTAAATGAGCTTATCAGACCATAGAGCAGTGGTTCTCAACTGTGGCTGCTCACCTGGGAATCTAAAATCCTGATTTCTGGGCCACATCCTCCGAGGCCCAGCTACCCTCATCCGAGGATGAGGCCCAGAAATCAGGATTTTAAAAAGATTCCCAGATGATTCTAATGTGCAGCCAAGGTTGAGAACCACTGCCGTAGAGGGATTGCTGTGGATCAGTGGTTTTCAGGCTGCTGCTAGAACACTTGTTCAGAAATGGATTTCCAGGCGCACCCCGCCCCCACCCACGCCTTCCCGCCCCCCTTTCTCATTTAGAAGGTTTGGTGTGGGGCCTGAGAATTTGTAGTCCTGCTTGAATGAGGAAAGCCTTTATTGGAAAGGAGTATTGCTAAGGGGAGAAAGGTGCTATTGTAATGAGGGACGTGGGAGGGAGGACCCGCAATAGGGTAATCTCTGACTCTGAGATCTGCAGGAGCCCCTAGGGTTTGGCAGGAAAGGGGCTTCTTTTATAGGGAAGAGTAAACAAGGCGGGAAAGGATGGGTATGAGGAAGTGGGCAGAAAGCATGGCAGATGAGAAAATGTTTTAACCTGAGACCAGCCTATTGTCCTGAGAGGTTGTTGAGGAGGGATTGTTGACTAGCCAGCGTTCAGAGACCGGGAGAAAGGAGAGGAGCTTAACCAAAGATTGGTTTACAAGCATTTTGTTCTGATTAATCCCAAGTTCAGCTGATCGTCTGTCAGGTAACGAATGGGAACTTAGAAGTCTGTGTCTGGCTTTGTCATAGGTACCAGTGAGCAGGGAGTCTTATCTAAGTCATACGGGGGGTTCTTTGTATTAAGCTGTTTCCGAAACACTTTGGTGGGGGACCCTTAACTTTTGCCGTTCACGGGGCTCAGGTGAGGTTCAACATTGTCACTAACAAGTTCCCAGGTGATGCTGATCTGCTGGTCCCAGAACCACAATCTGGGAACCACTGATGTAAAACAACCTCTGACAGGTTGGGGACAGTTAGTGTGGCCTCCTCAGAGGAAAGATTTTGGAGCGCTTTCCTGCCAGAGTTTCTGCAGTTTGTCACCCACCTGTTCCTCACTGTGGCTTTCAGCAAGTGCTTAAAAGGTACCAGAGTATCCTTCTCATGTCACAAAAGACATGTTTTTGGTTTCAAACTGAATTGTGCTTCTTTGTGAAGAGCTACCAAAAGCTATTGCTGTCCATGTTGACATTTTACTTTTCATTTTTAAAAAACCTATGAAATTTGATAACATGACAAGCTTGGGTGTCACAGTCTATTCAAAATACACCAAGAAGGCTAATCATTGCCCCACTACCTCGCTATAAAGATCCTCTTTCTGCTCCGGCTCTCACTTTCTATTCTCCTGAAATGTTTTAAGCAATTTCATTTAAAATGGGAGCTTGGAGTAAAAGAAGGGTCAGGAGGTTAAATTCAATTTCATTTCATTCTTTACTTTATGAGTGCACTAGACTATTTCTCGGTATACCTTTTGGAGTGAGAAACCATTATTGGAAGCTGTTCTTTTTACTTATACGGAAAGGGCTGTGCAGGTCAGGGAGGTGTGGCTCGCCACCTCTTTTAGTAACAGTCAACATTTGCTGTTGGCTGATTAAATCTCCTGCACCTTTAAGGAAAGGCTGGAAACCTGTAGGAAAAGATCTTCGTGCTCCCCCACAGCAAGGGGGCAGCATTGGGTCAGTTAGTTCCAAGATGTCCTGTATCTCTCTCTCCTGTTTTCCAGACTTCACATCCAAAAGGTTCAAAACAGGGCTGCTCACCTGTAGACTTCCCCTTGACCTCCAGCATTTCCAGGTTCCTCTTGGCTAGGAGGGAGGGACTGCAGCAAGCATTTTGCAAGGAAGTGGAAACGGAGCAGGTTTTCAAAGGTGGGGAGCTGGCAAGAAGCTGGGTTCTACATTCTTTTAGAAACTTGGGAAGAGCTGCAGGAGCGTTAAGTCCAGGTGCTGGCCTCCTCCTTCAGCTTTCCCACATGTACCAGCTCCTGAAAATGACCAGCAAAACCATGTTGTCCCTGCAGCCTCATGATGAACCCCCAGCACAGCCTGCACTAGGGCAGGGCCGAGGCAGGGGGCATCTTCCTTCTGTTCATTTATGCTAAGGCTAGAGACCCGATGCACGAAAATCATGCAAGGGCTATGCCCCCGCCCACCACTGCGACTGCTTCTGCCTCGGCTCCCAACATAGTGGCTTCGTCCAGAAGGTCGTCTGGAAGGTCATCCTTCATCTGGTCTAATTAGCATATCATACTTTTATTATTATAGATAACCACTTAATCCTCTCCTTCATTCCAAAGGTAGAATTAATTATAGAATATCAGGCGATGCTTTAGAAACCCACACTGTCAGAAATTAGGCTTGATGCTAAGAAATAGGTAAGTAAGGCTTATGAATAGTTAATACCAAGCAAATCCCAAAACCTGTGCCTTAAAATATCCCACCAGTCAGTTGTAAGCCATTTAAATTTGTGTATTGTGCTTCATCTGTCATGTGTTTTTATGGGAAAGACCTTCATTTGCTACTTCTTTGATGGTATTATTGGGGGGTGGGGGTGGAGAGGGAGTATATAAATATACATATTCTGTTGATTTACACCTCAGCATCAAAAAATATTTACTGTATACTCATTCCAGTAGAAAATGGGAAGCACTATTAAAAGCAGTGTGGTCTGAAGTCTGTCCAGGAGGTACTTGTTAAAAATACAAATTACTGCCTTTCCCTTCCAAACCAGATTACCTAAGTGGAGCCCAGTGAGCTGGGATTTGGGCATTTTGTTTGTTTGTTTTCTGACTTTGTGTTAAATTGTTTTGTAAATTCTCCCGGCGATTCTTAAGCATATAAAAGATTAAGAATCATTTATTTAAATTTAAAGGAAAGTGTTCTCTGGATAGTTTCCCCATATAATAGTGGTGGGTTTGAGACTTAACTAGTAACTTTTATTAGCACAGGTATGGTTGTTGTTTTTTTTTAAAAAGGGCTGCCCTGCTGTGGTTATGGTCAGCAGACCTGGGGAAGTGGCCCCACAATTCTTATTCCAAAAGCAGTGCATTCTCAGATTGTCATGACCAGAAGCTATGCTGAAGCACATGAAAAACGCCTGTATTACCACTTGCCAGCGATAACTGCTGATAGCTCAGTCTGCTTTTAACATGACTTTTAATTCCCTCGGAACTTGAGCATTCTCCTCTTCACTTGGCGCAAGCGGGCATTTGCTTGCCGATGACCTGTACAGATGCAAAGATAGGATTGCTCATTAGCGAGAACTTATTGATCACATAGGAGATGCTCAGCATGGAGGGAAAATAATTGTTTTCTGAAATTTAAAAAAATACTTATTAATTCTTTGCTTCTAGTGAAGACTTTCTCTTTTTCAGATATGTGTTTGAAAACTGCCTGCCAGCCCCCTTCTTGAAAAGTATCGCTAATGAAGGCCCAGTTCTGAAAAGTTCCACCGCCTAGCAACCTCTTTTTAGGCAACAAAGTGGAGAACAGAGTCCTGGTAGGATCAGAGAGATGGAGGGTAGCAGCACACAGAATTAATTGGATGGTGTTGGCTACTTTGGTGTGTTCTGCAGCTTGAAATGGTGTTCAACTCCTCTCCCTCTTAAAGCTACACTAAAATGATAGTAAAATAATAAAAAACATGTAAAACCACAAGCACCACGAGACAGAGGAAACAGCAGCAGCTGAGAACAACAAAATTTGGGGATACTGGTGGTGCTCCCCACTATTCCCAGTTGTCCTCTTCTGCTGAGCACAGGGAGGACTGTACTGTCCTTCCTCGTTCCCTAGACGTCAGGCCTGGCCCTTGGAATAGGACCAGTGAGCAGAGTTCTCCCCCTGAAGCCTCAGGTCACAAGACTCAGAGCCTCCATCAGCCTGGGTCCCGAGTGAGCCTGATGAGCTGGGCTCCCTGCTGACCCTGTGGAGGTGCAGTGTGAGGGAGGAATCAACATGGGGGATTTGGTGGTTTGTTACCATAGCAGAGCCTGATCCATCCTGACAAATAACTGATAGGTTTCTGTTCCCTCTGCTGAGTGGCCGTAAGGATTTGTGCTATGGACCTTAAGAAAGGCTTGGGAATTCGGGACACCAGCAGTGTTTGAAAGTCAGTCATTAGGAGAGGTTAAATCCGTTGTCCAGCTCGTGTGGGCAGGTTACCTCTCCTCCCCCCGCCCACAGAAGACAGGAGGTACTATGAGAAGAGGGTAAGTCAGAGAAGCTCTGGAAGTGGGGGCACTAGTCGAAGCTGGAAATGGGATGAAGAGCCTGACAGAACACAGGGCTGCTGAGCTGTGAAACTCAGACTGCCTCAGAGTTCTTAGCTGTCAAGCTTAGAACCCACCCGGCCCCGCACCCCAGCAAGAGACTAGAATGTTCCTCTCTGAGGAAACAGACCCAGGAGAAGATACCGACAGACACTCATGTTTGGGGGTTCCCAAACATAGCACCTGGGTCCCTACCAGATCACCCCACAGTAAAGGTTTCTGCCATGCATGAGTTTTTTTTTGACACAGTGAAACAGACATAGACATCCAAGGATCACTAGGCATTCAAAGAACATCTCTAACATGAAAGACAAAGATACAGAAAAGCAAATGAAGAAAGGAACTTGGAGAAATAAAGGCAGTGCTCAGAGCAGAAGAAAACTATAAAACACATCAATATCCTCAGAAAGGAAAGAGAAGATAAGGGAGCCACTAAATTAGAATGCCTTTTTTTAAAATAAGAAAAAGAAATTAATTAAAATATGTGACAGCAGAAATTTAAAATTAACATTTAAGAAATCTTCAGTAGGA